ATTATTAAATTAAAACGCTTACCTCTGTCACAGAAATCATGATATATTTATTTATTTCATTTTCTACTAAGTCGTTACCAAGATATTTAGAAAAATACGTATTCCAATATAAGGGTTAGAGATCTATATGAAATAAAATTCAACAATATTTGTTTCAACGTCTATTTCTCTGAGCTTTATCAAGGAATTAGTCTGGAATCCCTTCTTGCCATTACTAGACAACTATAACAAAACGGCGTAATGTCAGGGAAGGAGAAGAGAAAGCAGAACTCGAACAAAGAATAACAAAAACGTATTTTTTCTGTGATTATTTTTAGTTCAAAAATCTATCGAATATCAGATTGGAAACACGAAAATCCTAATTAGTGATTACTAACTAACTACGAAAATATCCTGCAGGTTGGTTGTCAACGGCTTGAATACATCCTAGAAAGGCGCTTAGTAAAATAAAAAAATAAAGATTATTTAGGGAAAATATCAAAAATCAACAACTAACAATCGCCCAGAAGAATCATATTAAAATTTTGTAATTTTCTGCTAAGGGGTTAAAAAGTATCTTAATAAATACGTATTCCATTTGAAGGTCTATAACGTCTATTATTGAATATACTATAGATGGGTTAGGGGCCGTTATTAATGTATATTTCTTAAACAGTCAATTGCGATGGTACAAAGCAAATTGACTCGTGCCATAAATCAGACCTTTTGGAGATGCCCCTTCTTCTGCCTCAATAAACTGAACGGCAGCTATTGCCGATTTTACAATTCAATGATGCCTCTGGAGGATGCTAAACTAGTTTGGAATGGCGGAGTTGTTTTCATATTAGCACTGTTGCCAGGTTTGGCTTCTTAAATGTTTAGTCCTTAAGATTGGCTTGTTGTTATCTAGAAGCCTTTTGTAAAATATGCAAAAGTGCAATTAGACCCACAAAGCCGATTTAATTCGACATACTAAGTCAAAACTCCCTTTGAAGGAGTGTTCAATAATAAATGTACCACCCGAACAACAAATAATAAAGCACATCAGTGTAATTTTAGGAAGCAAAAACTAGGGAACTTATGACAGCTACTATCGATGACATCTGGCGCCCAATTAGGGGAAATAATTTAAAAATAACTTCAAAAAATACTTCAATTCGACAGCATGGTACAAAATGCACAGTCTTAATTAAAAATGTTATCGGTCCTTATTGAAAGATGTCTCACAAGAAGTTGGTAACTTGTGTAACATAAAAACTGATTTTTTAGGCCTCAATAATTATTGGATGTGACCGCTGATACTAGATTTAATAAAGGAGAAAAATTAGGCCTAGCAAGAATTAAAATGATTCCCTAATAATGAAAATGTCATCAAAAAAATTTAAGTCAGATAATAAATAACAAAATCGTTTCAGAAAAATCAATACCTTAAAATACCTTAAAAACAAATGGGAGAAGGCTGGATCAAATATTAAAAACTTGAGGAACATGATTAATTCGTTTATTAAAAATAGGCCTGCAATAAGTTGGCGGCAATGACTTACGAAATACACATTTGAAAATATCGGTAGTGGTCCATTATTGGCCGGGTCAACCACTACTTATCACAGTTATAAGACCTTTTAAATAGTATTAGGTTGACTATTCAATTTAGTAAAACAAAATATTTTGCTTATATACTCGCTTGTTGCACTACACGCTGTCTAATTAAATTAGTTACCATTTTTCCCTGTGCGTTTAATTTGAAACACCTCTGTTGGGCTTTCTTTTATAATGATAGAATAGAATAGAATAGAATTTATTGGCCATTCAGATACGTCACAAAAACAACAAATGGTACGTCAAAGGTTAACAATACAAAAGAATTTATATATATAATATAAAAGGTTGTACAAATTTTGAGAACTAACACACTAACGCAGTGGTCTATTCAAGTGTAGTATGTTTGATCAACTCCAAGTATTCATTAATATCATAGAAAGGATTATCAGTAAAAAAACTTTTCATTCTCTTTTTAAATTGTCTGTATGGTAGATTTTTTATATTATTTGGGAGAACATTATACAGTTTAACATTAATCTTATTGTTTTGTGAGGACGTCAGTCTGGAGTGAGGTGGGGTGATCATGTCAACATACCTAGTATTATACTCATGTCTATTGCCAAGTGTCCCATGGACATCCGCGTTTTCGTGAATATACAGGATAGATCGGTATATATAAGTAGAAGGCAGCGTCATAACCTGGAAGTCAGAGAAAATGGGCTTGCAGTGGGCAATCGGGTTGGCACCGCAGAGCACCCGCACAGCCTTCTTTTGCAAACGAAAAGCTCTTTCCGTATATCCAACCCCACCCCAAAGCACAATGCCATAAGACAGCACACTATGAAAAAGCCCAAAATAGGCTATCCTAAGGGCCGCCGGGGTTAGACAATGGCTGAGATGTCTCAGTAAGAACAGTCGCCGAGACAACGTTGCACAGACCTCATGAATCTGGCCTGACCATGACAGAGTCCTGTCAATTACGAATCCCAAGAGGGTTATATTATTTTGATACAGATAGTCGACTTTACTGCAGGAGAAGGTAAGTTCTTGAGTTTTTTGTTTATTGAGGACTAAGTTATTTGCAGAAAACCATTGCTGGAGAACATTTGTTGCTACGCTGACATCTTCACTAAGCATTCGTTGATGCTTAGCTGTTAACAGAATGGCAGTGTCGTCAGCAAACAAGGTGACATTCGCATCTGGCACGGACAATGGCAGATCATTTATATAAATGATGAAGAGCAACGGCCCAAGAACCGAGCCCTGTGGGACACCGCAGCTCACTGGAAGAGCATCATCACTCGACACTCCACCAAACTCAACATACTGAAACCTGTTACTAAGATACGATTTTATTAACTTTAGAGGGATACCTCTGACGCCATAAAATTTTAATTTGTTTAAGAGCACATCGTGATCGACGCAGTCAAACGCTTTCGTAAGGTCGTACAGAAGTGCCTTTGATACGTCGCCAGCATCGAAACCCCGCACCACACTGTTCACAAAGTGCCTAAGTGCATGGGTCGTGGATTTCCCCTCACGAAAGCCAAACTGCGATTCACACAGAAGTTTATTTTCCTCAAAAAACAGTGACAGGCGGGCCTTCAGGGCTTTCTCAATGACTTTACCGAATATAGGGGTAATTGCAATGGGCCTAAAGTTATTTGGTGTATGTTGATCGTCTTTTTTGTGAATGGGAATTATTTTCGAAAGTTTTAGATCCGAAGGAAATACGCCACTCGAAAACACTGCGTTCGTTATGGCTGCCAGGGGACCCACGATGTACTCAATGGTGTGTTTCAATATTTTTGAATTTAAGCCGAAGCAATCGGTAGAACTTGAGTTGTTTAGACCTATAATAATGCCATACATCTCACTCTCAGAGACCGGGCTTAAGAAGAAAGATTTACACGTAGAGGGTGTTTTCGTAAGGTACACATATGGGTCACTGGATTTCCCAATGGATGATACTAGGTCATTTACTACATTGGAGAAGTAAGAGTTAAATTCGTTGGGTGTGATTGAGTTGGGTATAGCCTTTGAGGCTCGGTTAGTTTCATGGTTAATCAAGGTCCAACAACTTTTGCTCATGTTGCTGGCTCTAGTTATAAAATTGGCATATGCCTTGGATTTTGTTTCTTTGATCATTCTTTTGTAGTTAGCATTAGCCAGTCTATACTCAGCCCAACTGTCGCGTGGGGAAAATATTCGACACTTGAGTAGTTATTCTAACGCGGGACTGTGACGATTCAAGGTCACCGATGGCATTTTCCATCAGCAGTGTACCAAAGCCAGTTCTTCGTAAGGGGGGTCATGTAAAAGAAGTAAAGGTCACGCCGAAGAAGTGGAAACTGTCACCATTAGGGTGTAGACAGGTGTACGGGGACCCCTGGGGGTGGGTAAGGTAATTACACCTGTGTCGAGGTGTGACGTCATAGTGCCTTTTTGGCGCCTCCCCTTGGGGAAAAAGTGGTGTCACTTAGTTATTCTAACGCGGGACTGTGACGATTCAAGGTCACCGATGGCATTTTCCATCAGCAGTGTACCAAAGCCAGTTCTTCGTAAGGGGGGTCATGTAAAAGAAGTAAAGGTCACGCCGAAGAAGTGGAAACTGTCACCATTAGGGTGTAGACAGGTGTACGGGGACCCCTGGGGGTGGGTAAGGTAATTACACCTGTGTCGAGGTGTGACGTCATAGTGCCTTTTTGGCGCCTCCCCTTGGGGAAAAAGTGGTGTCACTGATTAAAAAACATTTTATGACGTCATAGTCGCTAGTGCCTTTTTGGCAATTGCACCCCGGTAAAAAAAGGGGTTCGTAGAAAAAATAAATTTCGTAGTGCCTTTTCGACACTACGGGGGGTGTGGGGGTGCGGGGGTGAGAAATTTTTGAGAGCCGAAAAAAGCGACCGCCGCCGCCGCCGCCGCCGATGTCTCGCGCGGGCGGGATTCGAACCGCGAACCTTCGGAGATAAACGCCGCCGCCGCCGACGCGCGCGCTGTTCCCCTAGCGTAACTGGGCCGGCACGTTATCGCGTCGTCGTCGTGTATGCGCGCTGGTCGATATAATTAAATAAGTGTGCACCGATAAAATTGATGATTTATTTAAGACATTTACATTGATAAGTTTGAATAGAAAACAAATTAATATCTAAAAAGGTTGTCGAGGTGAATGCAATTAAATAAATGTGCACCGATAAAATTGATGATTTATTTAAAACATTTACATTTATAAGTTGGAATAGAAAACAAAATAATATCTAAAAAGGTTGTCGAGGTGAATACAATTAAATAAATGTGCACCGATAAAATTGATGATTTATTGAAAACATTTACAAAGTATTGACATCCGATATAAATTTGCTAAACACCACAACGTATTTCTTCTTCTTCTTCTTCTATAGGGTATGTTCTAAATCCTTGTTTTTTTGGTCGCTGGTGGTGACGACGACGACGACGACGACGACGACGATGATGGAATAACTTCGTCGCAATATAAACTTATATTGTTCGAACGATTTGTTGATTGCGAACAATATTTTATATTACATATTGGATGATTTTTAATGGATTCTTCACAAAAGCAAAAAGATTTGTTACAGCTATTACAGTACTTGGTACCGTTATAGTAGTAGACTTTGGAGTTTTCCGAAACATCTTGTTTCACTTTTTTTTCGGTTGTTGTTGTTACGTAACGATCACTATTCATGGCTGCTGCTGCTTCGTACTTGACTAAACACTTTAACGCAAATTTTCAGTGACTCGACGTTAGAATGCTGTGAAAAAAAATTGTATTAAATTATGACTATAGAAAACAAATAGGTTCTTACCTTTTAATAATGTCTTATTTAAAATTGTTGAGTTTTGCTGCTTATGAAATTGAATTAATTAAAACAAAAATGATAAAACAAGTGAGTTTTTGCTGCTTATGAAATTGTATTAATTAAAACAAGTGAATATTTTTTTAACATAAAATTTAATTTGTTTTATATCCCCAAGGCAATGTATCAGTTAATATATAATTAACCACTCTCTTATCATCGAACGGTGTTAAAACAATTTTCCTTTGGTTTACCGTAAAAACTTCATGGTTTTTACTACGAAACAGATGTTCGTTGGTATACATTTGAGTTTTATCAAACAGACAATTATAATAGTCTTCAAAAGTGATTGTTTTTAATGACGAACCGGTAATACCTTTGGCTTTTTTAATAGTTTCGCCTTCTTTTTTGTTAGAAGATTTTTCTCGTTCTACATTTGAATAATATAATTTGATCGCGTACATTTTAGATTTTAATCCGATAAATTCGTGCATAATTCTACCGTTGTTTTCGTCTTTCATCAATCCCAAAACTTTTTTATTAGCCAAAGGAATATTATAAATGTTATCGGGAGGATAATCAGAAGTGTCAAATTTATGAATATCTTCTCGAATACATTTATAAATATCGTCAACGTAAAAATTATATATTAACGAATCTGTATCTGAATACAAGAGTTTTACATCCTTGCCGAATTTTGGTATAATATAATGATAATGAAAATCGTATAAAAATGTTTTTGAAATTTCTAAAATACTAAAACCAGCGTAAATGGGTTTATTAAATTTAATATTCAATGTCTTCATTTCAATGATAACCATGTCATTGTCGAAAATTGTTAAGCTATGAAAATTTGGTTTTGAAATATAACTCTTTGCACCGTATCGTCCCGACCAACTTGTTACCAGTTTAACGTCTTTATATTTCCGAACGTTTTCCATAGTCTTGCCGAAAACGGCATTATTCATTAATTTAAAAAAAATTTTTTCGAATTCGTTTTTGCTTTGCTGCCTCAAGTGTGTGTTTAGGTCAATGTAGGTTTTCAACCACGGAGATTGGTTAAATTGTAATATTTTATGAATTTTTGTAACACGTAAACCTAACTGAAGAGCCTGTTTGAGATTTTTATAATGTATTACGTAGTTTTTTTTATCAAACAATGTTGTCAATAATTTCGGCTGTTTTGTTTGACCCGTTGGTGGAATCAAACGTTCCGGACATAGAGGTAGATCTTTGTGGATATCGTGAAGTATTGTAGGATATTCTATATCTACTTCAAGAAGATACCCAACGTCAGAATCGTCCGACGTGTTTATGATAGAATAAAATGCGTTATTATCGATCCATTGGAACCCACCCGTCGGTAGTGGTAGTCTCATTGCCGTTCCATATAGGTTATTTACATCGAAATACATTAAATATGATGAAGGAATGTCTGGATTATAATCGTTTTCCATGTATTTATTGTTAGCCTTACCGTATCGGTTACTGCATTGTGAAATTCCACCGCGTATTCCTTTTTCGATCATCATTAATTGATCGATGTCCGTAATTAATTCTAGTTGAACATTTGAAATGAGAAGACATGCATCGTATGCCAGACCCGGTGCCGTGTAATATTTCAAACATTCCAAGCCATACGTTTTTTGACATACATTTCTGAAATTTTCGAAAACGTCCGTCAATAATAGTACGTCTGTTTTCAAATACAATTCCATATATTCGCGTAAATTTTGAATTTTGAATGTTGTCCAAATATTTTTGGCATGCTCGTAATCTTTTATCGTAATACCGGATTTTCTAAGTTTACTATAGAAATTTTCAATCGGGGGCAATTCGACGTCGTTCAATTTTTCCCAATCATCTAGATATTCATACGGAAAGACTCCCTTTTTCTGTAACAACTGAAATTCTTCGAGATTTTCGCAAAAGCTTCTAGTAATGTTTTTTTCGCTAGGGTCTAAATAACAACTTAACTTATCCAAACTACTAGCCATAAATCTGAACGAATCTAAAAATCGAAAATTAACGCTCGTGTTTTCGATATATTTTGTAAACGATATATATTTTTCTTTGTTACGAGGTAGTAATATTACCGAACCGGGAATTTCAGTTGCCAAGTTTTTAATAAAAAAGTGTAGATCGTATCCTAAGTTATGAAATACCACGGGTATCATATGATCGTCCTTGTAATTAAGATTGCAAGAAGAATGAGCAACTCCTCGATATTTTCCCGTGAAATGACAATGATCTTTTACTCTTAAATCATTTTCGGTAAATGGTTTTGAACAAATGTGACATGTGGTTGATGTATAAAATGATTCTTTTTCATGTTCAGTCAAAGGTGTCATTGAAACAGCATTGTTAAATATAGGATTTAATTGTAGGGCCAGTTCTTGTAATTGTCGACAAAACCAGCTCATACAATCTTTACCCGTATACAAGTTAAATTTGGAAAGATTATTATCGTAACTGCACAACAGATAATAAGAAATACTACAAGGAATATGTTTTTGATATTTTTTAATGTTTCCCGTCGCAGCGGAATCTTCGTATTTTTGTAAAATACACTCGATATCCGCGTAAATAACAAACGGTACTTTTTCTTTATTTTTAAAATGCGAAAATGTTACGTGTTTCTCTTGTTCAGTTGGGAGCGTAATTTTGGTTTTATTTAATTTTCTGCAACTAAATATGTGTTTATTTAAAGTTTGTTGTGAATAAAAATGATTTAAGCACCTATCGCAATAAAATCTGCTATGAGTCGAATCTCCGCTTTGTTTCGATAATAACCGTGATAAACTTCTAATTAATGCGAAATGAAAAACTGTCTCAAAATTGTTAATGTGATTAGAGAGATTATTGTTGTCGACGTCGTCGTCGTCGTCGTCGTCGTCGTAATCATTGGTTATATCGGTGGGAAGCATCAATAAATTAACCGTTCTTAAATAAGAGAATTGACTTAAACACGCCGGTACAATTTCCCGCTTTTCTAATGAGAAAACGTTTATGGAAATATTATTCATTTCTTCAAACTTTTTTATGTCTTTTAATTTGATTGGAAATTCAATGCCATCGTATTTTAAAACTTCACTGAAATGAGGATATGAATAGGTAATACGCGGATTTTGATTTGTACGACAAGGATGTAGCGCGGCAACGATAGACCAAAGAAAACAATATTCATCGTTATTTTGAATATTAAGAACAGCTTTTTTATTAATAATAAATTTTGGCATCGATACATAAGTTGAAAGACCGATATTTATCGGTGTATAATTATTAATGTTAACTTTTAATTGTAGAATCCGGTGAAGAGCCCAACCAGAATCCCTCTCTTGAAAATCCTCTAATTTTGTTAATATATTATTTTTAATATAATTACTATAAAATTCTTTCAAATCGGTATTATGATCGATGACGCGATTTTTGGTGGAAAAATGTTTTACATCGGTTTCGCCCGTTTGTGGTTTTACAAAATCTGCAAGAAATATTACGTTAACTTTAATTAGGGACTCCCGAAGGGCTTTTTTTATTTGACAAGAGAATGATCTAAACGCCTTGCTAAAAAATATTATAGGATCTTTAATATCTAAATTAACTATTGCTCCCGTTTTAATACGATTTTTAAAGCAAGACTCGTTATCAACCCAAATTAATTTTGCATTATTTTTTTTAACTGTTTTATGATGTTTGAATTGTTCTTTGAAATTTTTTAAAAGACTTAAATTTGATTCTATTTTTGCCACCGCTTTTCTGTCTGTCGACGATGACGATACACTTTTTAAATATTTTTTCAAAATTAAATTGTTTCTGTTCAGAAATTTTATCCACTTGCAATATTCATGTTTTGTTTTAATTAACTCACCAACTTCTTTAATTTTCAGCAGCGTTTTTTCACTCAACTCACTGATTTCAGACATTTTTACTTATACGCAGCAGACTTTTTTGTCTATTCTAATAGACGCGTATGTGATAAATAATATCACTTTGTAGAATTTTACCGCTTTTATCGGATAGCGGGGTTAGGGTCAAAACTATTATGTTTTGCGCAATTGATAAATATAACGTAATCGCTTTTAATATTATGAATGCACTGTGTTATTATCGTGCTGACGAAGTGGAAATTTTAGGATAGATAATAATTAAAAAAAATAAATGCATATAAATATATCGAACTCTACGACAAGGAATCATTGTACACAACGACTATGGACACTCCGTCAACATTAATTTTTGAGTCAACGGATCCCGCCAGACTTTCCAACAAGATGCTGGCGGTATTTTTAAAAAAATTATTCAGGTAAGTCTGTCACCTTCATTGTTTTGTTTTCCATAATTTACTAAAAATCTATCAAATTATCATAGGTATGGGAGGAAAGAAGTGAAGATTGTAAACAAGAGAGTTCACTTGTATTTGAAATATTCACCGAAGAATGAAACGGTTCAGGGAAAATTAAAAAATCTTCCCGTCCGATACCTGAGAGTGGCGGCCGATGACGAGGAAGAATTACAATTGTTATTGAAGGGGATGCGTGAATTCTCGGACGTCAATTTTTATGCGGCTGCTATAGAGGAGGACGAACCGGTACCGGCTAAAAAATTCAAGCCGGCTTCGGAAGAAGAGAAAATAAAAATTCTGGAAAACAGAATTTTAAAATCAGCCACCACTACGACGATGACGACGACTACCACCACTCCCAGTACCAGCAAAGTTGAAGATTTTTGCTTCGTTTTAGACGACGACGCGGAAGAGTTTGAAAGTCAAAAATTTAGTGTAGTTAGTAAATAAAAATATTAAAAAATATTCGAGTTATAACTTGTTTAATTTTTTCCGTCACATGATAAAAATAATATTAATTGTTCTTATGGTCAAAGTTAATAAAACAACAAGTTTACTACGTTCTCTTCATAATCTGAATCAATTTCATCTATAATTGATTGTTTCATTTCACTCGGTGAATCGTAATTACTAATAGGAGTCGAATTAAATGATAACTGTCTAGGCAATATTTTTCGTTTCTTTTGAATTACTGATAGCGGTAAAGTTTGTTCTTCTGCTGCGGCGGCGGCGGCGGGCTCCTCCACTTTTACGGGAAGATGATACTTTGGAGTAGTTTGTGTTACATCACTTACTAGAGTCGTCTTCGTCGTCGTGGTTGCTGGCGTTGTTGTTCTTGTTGAATTTTGCAAAGAAGACTCGATATTTTTCAATCGTTTTGTAATAGGCTTAAACATTGTCTCTTGCATCATTTCACCACGTTTTAATTCTTCAAGTTTTTTTCTTATATCCTTACGTTTAGAAATTAATCGTTTTTTCAAAACTTTATCATTTTGTTCACTGATCATAGCGCTCGATATCACCGTCTATAGCAAGTTACGTTCTGAATGTAGAACCACTAGTGAATAACCTTTATAGGAACAGCTCTCTCTGATCAGGCGTAAACAACTTTTGATCGGGGACCTAAACAGCTCCTGAACAGGTCTAAAACAGCTCTTGATCAGGTCTAAACAGCTTCTGAACAGGTCTGAACAGCTCCTGAACAGGTCGAAACAGCTTCCGCCGCCGCCGCCGCGATAGGACGATTAGAAATGTATGAAGCAATCAAATGTTTTCCTATATCGACCTCCTTGATTAATATCGCAGTCTTTAAATACAGTTAGGAAACTAAACGCTTCGTTCCAGCATAAAGCACACATTTCTTTAAAACGTTCAAAAGTCATATCGGTACCGATATGATCGTTGTATATGTGTTTCAAATTTAAATCGTCTTGTTTGAAAATTACGAGACAATTAGCATTGTCTCTTATAAGATGTTTAGGTATTTTAGCATACGTTTGACATAAATAAAACGAATCAATTTTATTATGTCGTCCCATACTAAAGTATTCGCGTATGACATCTTGGTTGTCGCACGCTACATCGTCGAAAATGAAAATACTGTTCGGTTTAGCCTCCGACGGATGCATAATGCTTTCACCGGCGTTAAATGTAAAATATCGAATACCTTTTATTGATTTCAGCAGTTGATCCAGGTAAATATATTTTGGTTGGTTCAAAGATCGCGAATAAATGTATACGTTTTCAAATTTTACACCGTTCTCCTGTTCGATTAAATTAATCATCACGTTAGTTTTACCGCAATTCGAAGGACCCACGATAATACATCTTATTGTTGCGGGAAACAATTTACCATGCCTCTTGTAAGATTTTTCGTGAAACGTATTATTTTCAATATCTAATGTAGTACTTTGTTTAATAAGTTTCATAATGTGATTGTTTTCTAAAACACCGTACTATTCATAATGATATAAAATAGATGACTTACAAACTTTTTATATTAGTTTGTACTAACAAAACGAACACACACGATCGTCAGCATGAAATGTTACGCATCAGGTAACGGTTTATTAAATACGGTAATCAACAAATTGCCTTTTGAAATGCATATTCCGGGGTATAATTGGTGCGGCCCCGGTACAAAAGTTGAAAAACGTCTCGCTAAAAACGATTCCGGCATAAACGGTTTGGACAATGCATGCAAACAACACGATATCGCCTATTCAACGGAAAGTGATTTAAACAAACGTCACGAGGCAGATAAAGTATTAGCTTCCAAGGCTTTAGCGAGATTTAAAGCTAAAAATTCCGGGTGGAAGGAGAAAATTGCCGCTTTAGGAGTAACGGCGGCAATGAAAACAAAATTAAAACTCGGAATGGGCATTCCAAATACAGACCGCGGCGGTGGTGGTTACTATTACCGTTCCAGGAGATTAATTCAAACTTGTTTAAAAAAACTACAAAAAACTAAAAAAAGTTTATACGAAATTGAGGATTCTTTAGCCAAGATGATAAATCAGAAAGAGAAAAAGAATATTTGCAGCCAAAAGAAGAAAAAGAAGACACAGCAGCGAAAAGAAAACAACAAATCGAAACCACAGACATATGAAGATAAGAAAGATTTTGATATCGCAGACGATTATCCATTAGATAGAGTTCGACCTAAAAGCATTCTAAATGATGATGAAGATAATG